TGGAGGTGGGCGGGGCTCGGGCAGGGGCTCTGTGTTTTGCTGTGTTTACATGCCTGGTTCCTTCATAGACATTCCCGGTTTGGCAAAATATTAACTGGAAACAGTCCCAAGCTTCTTTAGCTTAGATTTGTTGAGGCTGTGGTTGATATTTCTTCATAAGTACGGATGGCTTTTCCTTTGCTTAAAATAATAGAAGTTTAAAAAAAAAAAAGACAAGAAAAAAGCAAATTGTGTAAAGAACGAGATGTATTTTGTTTGGCCTTGCTAAAATACCGCTTGGCTCCAGCCATCCCGTATTTCTTGACTCCGACTGTGCCCTGAAGCCGGGAAAGGGGAGGATGGTTTTCAAATGAGATGTGAGTTTGTGTGTTTGCATTCCGCTCCGCTTCTGCCTTGTTAGTCTTAGTGGGCCCAGCACTAGGAAGCTTGAGTGAATTTCCTTAATGAAACTTCACAGTAGGGAAGGGTGTTGTTTGGGAAATGCTCTGAGAGCTGCTAATTTGAACAGGACTAACTTCTTCCGATGACTGTTTTCTTAAATCAAGTTTCAGACAATGGCGTGCTAGATAGATACCCATGAGTAATGGCAGGCTGTTCAGAAGCTGTGGTGTGAAAGTGACCCAATTTTTTTCTTTTTTTTAAAAAGGACCAGGTCAGCTTCATTGCTCATTTGAACTAGTTAGCGTTCCCTGTGGAAAGTGATCCACTTTTCTGATATAATTGATGTGTGTCACCAATGGAACTAGCCAGCCAGCCGACAAATTGCACTGTGATTTTTCATGCTTCATCTGGGGTTTCTTGCTCCTGGTGGTGCTGGCGATGAAACCCAAACCCAGTTTACTTTAAAGTAGCCTACATTGTCACACGTTGGCCGTGACCTGAGTCACCCCCTTTTACACAGCAAAATCCTGGGAGACCCATCCAAGGTCACACAAAGGACCCTGAGCCCAAACACACAGAGCCATTGCTCGTGGGTGCTGTACCCTGTTAGTGCCCTACATCTGTGATGCTCCTGGAGATTTTCAAGACCCTTCCTCTCAAGTGCTTGCGACTGGAAACACTTATGTAAACAGTGCGCACATTCCACTGACTCTGGAACGGGGACCCCTCGTGACATGACGTGCACACAGCCCTCCCCGCCCACGGCCAGGCCTCCCCGACCTCTTAGTGGTGGGAGTTACTGCGCAGGTCACGTGGACGATGCGGCTGCGCCTCTTCAGCTCGCATCAGTAGAGAAGCCACGTGCTGTGGGTGAGTGGCTGTGGTTCCCAACGCCGGTCAAGGCATCCTTCAGTGCTTTTCCAAAGCCAAGTTTGGGACGAGGTGTGGAAGAAGCGAGAAGAACACAGTAGGATCTTGAGAGCGCCGTCGACGGGGAAGAGCGATAGGGACAGAGAGCGAGGCGTGTGATCTTTGGGCTGTGGCGCCGTAGCCTAATTTGTAGAAACGATTGCTACTTCCTGACATTTTGAATAATGTCCCAGCTTTGTAAGTTCCCAAGTGTATCCCTGAAATCCACAACTGTGACGCAACTGGGTTAATAGTGACCGATAACCAGATGTCATTATTTATCAAATAATGAAAATCCTTTGCTGAGATGCTGGCTCCAGTTTGACATTTAGCGGGGGCACGGTTGGTGTGACCAGCTGGGGTTGGCTTCTCTGGACTGTGATATAACACCTATCCAGAGTTTACTTGGGAGAGTGTATTCATTCACATGAGGAAGTTCAGAGGTGAGCCAGCTGGATTGATCAGGAGGTTCCTGAAGTTACAAGACACCCCCCAACACACACTCCTCCAGTTCTCTCCTTTTGCTTATCCATTTCCGTTGCCTTAGTATGCTGGCTGTTGAAAGTTCCCGCACCCCACAAGCCTCTCCACCGACGCAGCAATCCGGCTCAGACCAAATCAAACCAAATTAGAAAAAAGTCCGAGTTTAATGGATAAAAACACTCCCGGATGATTTTCGCCCCCCACCCCCACCCCCAGAGAAGAGATGGGAAGGAGAGACAAGGAAAACATGTCTGTTTTATGGGGAGCAGTTTAAATATTCTGTGGGAGTGATCTTGAGCAACTCTGGAGAAGAGGGTCATCATTTGGCGGTTGTTCTGAAATGCGGCAGGGTTTGAAGAGAGTTGGGGAGCCGGCTTGGGGTAGAGCTACCACTGGAACAATCTAGACTCTTTGGGTGTACAGATGCCAGGGGTTGGGGTGGAGCTTCTTCCAGAACAGCTGTTACCTTCCTTACTTTAGGGAGCAGGATAGAGGATGAACAGAAGGACCCCCTGTGCCCCTAATAAGGAGACTTGCTTGCTGCAAGTGGAATATTCCACTTAGTCATGACCCCTCACATGAGAAGGGTCAGGGAGAATTCCTTTCACTGATTCTCTATGGTCCTTGCGGTTTGTTTTTCCACCCTCGTGTGTGGACTGTAGCAAGAAACTTTGGAATGTTTAGGGAAAGGGATAAGAATTGAAAACTATTTTTCATGATAATAGCAGTCATTCATATTTGAAAGGTCATAGAAATGGTGTTTAAAAATGGGTATGAATCTTCTCTTTTGCTTTTCTTTAACATGGATGTAATGTCGTGCCATGTCATAATTTAACAGGGGAAAAAATAATAATAAACGGAACCTTAAACTTAGAGGCAGTTTGCCCAGAATTACATTCGGAGTGAGTGGCGGGGTGGAGCTCAGAAATGGACATGTCTTTTTCTGGGTCCCAAGCATGCGGTGATTACTTTGTCACCTACTTTGAATGTTTTAGTCTGAGAGTTTGTTCATATCTATAACTTGAGTTTCAAAACTTTGTCTTCCAAGATCTCCTGAGTAAATTGGGAGCATGGGGACCTTTGGGGAGGGTTGAGGGGGGAAGGGAAAGGCAGGGAGAGGAGCAGAGAAAAATGTAGAGCTCAATAAAAATCAATAAAAAAGAAAAAGTCAAAATAAATAAATAAAAATAAAAAACCTTAACCCTGCTTTAAAAAAAAACAAAAAACTTTGTCTTCTATTTAGTTCTCTCCTTCTTTGGTTTCTCAGACCTTATGTTTTATATACCCCTTTCATTTCTTTTTAATCCTTCTACATCTTTAGCTATTGTTGTGTTTTTCATAGATTTTAATTCTTGCCTAGTTAGGTGGGAGCTGACCCTTCACGTGGGTTGGGAGTCTGTTTGGAGCACTTTGGGCGCCTTCCTTTTCCCAGGTCAGCCCTGAAAGGGATTGAGGATGGCAGAGTGAGTCAGAACAGTCTCTTCCCTCGGGGCGTTTACATAATTCCTTAGAGAATGGGTTTGAAACAAGCCTGTTAACATCAAATTAGGTTCTGACACTGTATGCAAATCCACACTGACCTACATGCAGACACCCATTTGTGCTTGTAATTGCCAGTGCATCATGGTGCCTCTGACTGCCACCCATCCTTGAAAGCATTCCTAAGGTACTACATAATTAGGCCATACTATTTAACCACTTTTTATATTTTCTCTTAGGTAACATGGTTTATATTATTATGTTTATAGTGAAATCTCCTTGACACTAATTTATACAAAAAAAGAGACTTGATAATATCTGCTGGTTTTTGTTTTTGTTTTTGTTTTTTTTGGAGGGGGTGGTTTTTCAAGACAGTGTTTCTCTGTGTAGCTTTGGAGCCTCTTCTGGAAGTCTCTGTGTAGATCAGGCTGACCTCGAACTCACGGAGATCCGCCTGCCTCTGCCTCCCAAGTGCTGGGATTAAAGGCGGCGCCACCACCGCCCAACAATAATACCTGCTTTTTAAAGGCAGGAGTTAAATAAACATGCTTGTTTGTAGAAATGATTGCTACGTCTTGACATTTTGAATAATGTCAGGAATAATGAACAGGTGTGTTAGAAACCTAAATAAAACGAAGGCCGGCGTGAAATTTGAGGCCAGAACCTGTCCGGAAGAGGCTGTGAGGGTCTGTCACTCACGTACTTCTCACACAGTGCTGAGAACAAGGATGCTCCCTCTCTCTCTCTCTCTCTCTCTCTCTCTCTCTCTCTCTCTCAGCTCGGGGAAGACGCACTCAGTGTGTGTACTTAGAAATCCCATAGTGTGCTGAGGGGCCGGGAACATTCTTGTTCTGTCATTGTGCTGCTTTATTTAAGAAGGTAAAAAAGGAAAAAAAATCAAATACTTTGCTTTTTTAGGATCTGTGAAAACTACTCCAAGTTTTGGGGAGCACCTTAGAGACATTGGGTAGCCGTCAGAAGCTTTGTTTTAGAGTCGTGAAGTCATCTAAGTGCTCAGGAGGAAGAGTCTTCTAAAAGGTGTGAGGCATAAAGGCACCTAGGAGATATGAACTACGGAGGAACCACTGGTGTGGTTCTGATATAGGATGAGCTCCCGGAATAGTGGAGTGTGCTCAGAGGCCGGGAGGGGACAGAGAGAGGACTGGCCTCCGGGAAACCGGCAGAGTCTAGTAGCTGCTTTGGAAAGGGAAGGACAGAGTCATTGATGGTGAAGTTTCGGATGATTAGACTTTTGTAGTAACCAGGTGTGTGGGGGCCCCCAAGAGCACCAATTAGAAGAGTCCAGATGCCCTTCCCACTCATTGTTATGGTGGCTGCTTTGTTTGGATGCAGGACCTCCCTGTGTATCCCAGGGTGGCCTCCACTTAGGGATGCTTTTGTTTCGGCAGTCAGTGCTGGGATGACAGGCCTGTGCCACCACACCCAGCTCCAGATATCCACCCCGTGGCCTCCTTCTAAGGTCACCTCTTTGATGACCTAGAGTATTTTCTAAAACTTCATGTCATGTTCCTCCCTCCTATCTTCACTCTGGATCCACGCTAGAAGTGCCTTTCCCTAGTCCAACCTGTCTTGATGGAAGGGCTGCAAATTGTGAGAAAACGAGACCCAGATGACCACCCAAGAGTGCGTCGTTTCCCGACCGCGCCATGCCCTAGGTCTGCTGAGACGTACGTGCGTGCGTGCGCCGCGTGTTGGCCGCTCCGCTGACGCAATGGGTTGTATCCTAGGCGTTTTTTGTCGACCACAACTCCCGGACCACCACGTTCATCGACCCTCGGCTCCCACTTCAGAGCAGCAGACCCACAAGCGCGCTGGTTCATCGGCAACACCTGACCAGGCAACGCAGCCACAGCGCTGGCGAGGTGAGTGTGGCCCTGAGGGACTGGCCAGGTGATTGGCGATGGTAGCCACTAGGATGCTGATACGGTCCTGTGTGAAATTGTGTTGCCTTTTCTGTTGTTTGCTTGTTTCGTTTTCTGTTTTGTTTTTTTTTCTTTTCGTTTACCTTCGTTTGGTTTTATTTAATTTAGTTTAAGTGTATCATTTAGAGGCTTCGAAAGCTCCGGAATGTTGACAAGGTTTCTCTGAAAATACCTCTAAGCTAAATTGCAAATTTAGTAGTTGGGGGTCTGTAATGAACGACTGACAAATGAAGTTTCCTGTTTAACCCAGACGGAATTGGTACTGATAAGTGCACACAGAAGACAATAATCCCTTTGCACACCCAGTCAAATAAGAAAACAATGAACTTTTAGCGGGGGCTAAAACTGCCTTACCTGCAGGTAAGAATTCCTTGAGTGAGGTTTACTGGATGCCATTAAAATATCCGGATATCCAAGGGTGAATCCACAGGGCCGTGGAATCCTTGGCTGGTCTTGTCTAAAATTAAGGTGTATTTGACAGAAGTTGTTTATGTGCTGCCTGCACAGAGAAAACGGCCTGAACTGAGAATGACTGGACAGCCCACTGAGTTCTGCTTTGCCAGTTTGCAGTGGTCTGTGGTAACCACATGAGGGCTCCCCAGCACCCTAGCCCCAAACACGTAAAAATCCCTTCTTGTTTCATTTTTCTTTCAACGACTGGAATGCATGAAAGGACTGTTTGTGGGCGAAGTGTCCCCTCCTTAACGGAGCTTACGGTTTGCTTGTGCACTTGTGGCTCGCTGTGTACCGCTTCAAGAGAGACCCTTAGACAAATGGAATTAAGATTTCTTTTCCTGCCTGCCGTTCCTAAACGCGTATCCTATTTCCAATATTATACTGTCGGCCAAATGTTCTGAGGGCTTTCTTGTAATAAAAAATTATGAATGCAATAAATAACTGGCTTCAGTTCGTCAAGAGTCCACCCGTGGAATTTCCCCTCATGCTGTTCACACTGCTTTAATGCATCACGTGGGCCCTGTTTATAGAAGAATATACACGAGAAGCTCATATAAAAATGATGTATAAGTCTAACGCAGGGTGAGGTATGCATGAAAATATTTATGCTTTATGAGTAGCCCATAAATCTTTATCATGCTTTCCTGTAAACCGTGAGTGGAGATCACTACCAACGTTTATCTCACCAAATACAACCGAACTCTCACCCTTGGACCTTGCCTAGGTTTATATACATGATTAGGACCCTGCCTAGCTTTCTCACGTGGACAGTCCGCTTTAACCATTTGCTCTACGGTGGCTTCAGAAGCTGAAGGTGGCCGTTCTGTCTAGCCAGGGTGATGTTTTTGAGAAAATATACAAGAGATTAATAGCGGAACTTCCCCTTTCTTTTAGCACCCGGGCTTCAGAACTTTGAATGACTTTCAAAGTCTAGGAGTAGCCCGTCCGTGGGACAGAGCCCATCGTATATTAGCAACTAAATGAAAATCTCCCTTCTGTTGATGGGAACTGAACAGTGAAGCAGAAGACCCAGCAGGCAGCCACATTATCATCCAACCTTTCACAGAGGCAGTTCTTCCAGGGAAGCTGGAGGCGGTGCCTGTATTTCTTGGAGGAGTTGACCACTGTCTTGTGGCCTGGTTTTAAGAAGCGAAGACTTCGCCACCTTTGGCTGTTCTAGGAAATGTTGACGCACGGCAGCACACTGGCAGGAGGGAGATTACACAGACTGGTGTCTTGAAAAGCCAAGTGCTCTGTCTGAAGATGTGTAGCTGATAACCGAATCTTCTCAGAGTGCCTAGCTGCATTCCTCGAAGCCAGTAACTCGGAAGGGGCAGGCTGAGGAAACTTGCAGTTTCGGCGTGGGTCCGCGCTGTGACCATGCGAGCCTCATTCAGCAGAGTCTGTAGTCGGTAGAAGGGCTGCTATTGCAGCTGTGGATGAACGCCTGCAGCCGTGCAGAAACATTGTGGTTGACGGTGTAAAGAACACAAGTAATTAGGGCCTATTTCCCACATTCTTAGTACGGAGAGCAAGTTTAAAGTGATACTTGAGATGAATGAAAATAAGAGGGAAAAGGTCCTTGATGAACTTTTTTTTTTTTGCTTGTTTGGTTTTTTGTTTGTTTGTTTGTTTGTTTTTTCAAGACAGGGTTTCTCTGTAGCTTTGGAGCCTGTCCTGGAACTAGCTCTTGTAGACCAGGCTGGCCTCGAACTCACAGAGATCCACCTGCCTCTGCCTCCCGAGTGCTGAGATTAAAGGCGTGCGCCACCACCACCCAGCCTTGGTAAACTTTTAAGGGGCCCACGAGGATACCAGGGCAGGGGGTATAACACTCTTGCTGCACAGCCTAGTGGCCTGAGTTTGATCCCGGGAACCCATGAAAGAGTAGAAAGCGAGAACTCACTCCACAGACTTTCCCTCTGACCTCCACATGGACACCATGGCACCCTGAACACCGTCCACCATAACAAATCACATGACATTGTTTTTAATAGCTGGGGAAGAAAGCTCCGTTTTAATAGCTCATTTAGGTAATAATGTGGACTTTTTTTTTTATTGTTTCCAGCTTTATGGGGGCATAGGAAATAAATAGCAAATGGCTAATAATGACAACTGATTTTGAAATATCCCCAAGCCCCAGGGGATCTCAGAGAAGATTATGTTCAACCTCACCTTGAAGAGAAGGGAAGGTTTTGTGGAGGAGGAGGAGGCTGTTTGAACTTTACTTTGAGGAATGAGAGCCTTCCTGAAGGATGGGGGCGGGGCAGGGGAGGTGGAGGGCTGTAGAGATGGCCTCAACAGGTACCCAGCTGATGTAATATGATAAAATGGCCGTGAAGATTTCAGTGGGAGGGGGTAGGAGCGCCATCTGAAAAGTGTCAGTGTACCAACCCAGTGTCACCTCCTGTCCTCTCCTTAAAAGACTTTTGGAATATGCTAGAAGATGCTAGAAGCTGAAGCAAGGTTAGAATTTCCAGGCACAAGCACAGATGAGTGGACTGGTTATCTATGTGTAGGGTTTTCTAAGCCTATAAGAGGCACAGCGACTAATCCAGGGATTAAAAAAAAAGGAAACCATATTTAGATCATGCACACCTGCTCCTGTTGGCCGTCTGGTGTGGGAGGCTCAAACCTGAAAGAGCTGTTACACCAGGCCCTCTAATGAGCTTATAAAATTGCTTCTGAGGAGATAATGTCCTAATGCACAACCCCGCAGGAAGATTGCTGCCATTCAGCTCCTCCTCTGCGGAGGCAGGGAATTCCCTCAGCTACCTAGCTAAAAAGAAAGAAAGAAAGAAAGAAAGAAAGAAAGAAAGAAAGAAAGAAAGAAAGAAAGAAAGAAAGAAAGAA